CAGGGAAACTCTCTGAATCATGAATCACAAAGGAAAAAAAGCAGCCTCTGAAATATCACCATGCGCTGATTCTAGTTGCCTAGAACCTTTTGTTGTCTATTCATAGCTTCAAACTGTTGGGCTGTTTCACATAATGGAAGTCAGTGGCCATAGAGAAGTTTCTTTGCTTCAGCTATTTTTGTAAAATTCAAAGAATCTAATAATGGGAAAGCTCCATCCACATCTATGCCACACACACAAATCAGAATAGGAAAGGTCAAATCTCCTTATTTTAAAATCAACTGAAAATCCACAGTCTGAGCATAAATGGGGTGTAAGAGCCAGGAGGCTTTCTGTGGCACAAACTCAGGTTAGGCAGACACCAGCAAATCTTGACAGACCTAAGGAGAGTGTGTGCCATCACTCACTGCTGCATATAGCATGCCCTCAGAGCCTTGCATGCCACTGATTTTAGCCTATTAATTTATGTCTCATTAACAGATTCAGCTTCCAGATCTCACCCATGTTTTATTTATTTTCCAGCAAGGGCTATGGTAAGGCTTTTACTCACCTCAACAGGACCACAAGAAGTTTCCTTCCTTATGGACAGAGGAGAGAAAACAAAATGCTTTCAGACCTGAAGGAGCTAGAGACAAGCAGCAATTATCTGACAGGAGGCCGACACGTTCTTCACCGCTCTTGCATAAAACATTGAGCGATGCTTCTCAAGCTCACCTCAGCTTTCTAAATTTATTTATTTATTTTTGTGCTAACTGCTTAGCAGTTTGGCAAATGGCTACTTAATAGCAATGGCAAATATCTTTTTTTCTTTTTTGAGGGCATGAAAACACTCAGAAATAAACAAAACCCCAGCAAGTCCTTTACCTTCCTTTAACCATCTTTCATTTCTCCTTTGCTCAAAAGTCCTTCTCCCTCTACAGAAGGGCTCAGTTATTCTTCTTGGGCCAAACTCCTCTCAGATAATCTTCTCTCCCCATGAAAGAAAGAAACACTACCCAAATCCTTCTGCCCTAAACAGAAGGGAACTCTAGGTCAATGTAATTAACTTTCTTGGCACATCACTGCTCTTTAGCCCTTATTGGCTTCATCTGGCTTCCCAGGCCCCTCACTGCCATTTCTGTGGGCTGCCTTGGAGTGACTCACCCCTTGCAAACACCAGTGAGCACTTGATTTGCCATTTCTTAGCAGAATTCTTTATCTTCTCCTGATTCCTTGTCTGGATAATTCTTCCTGTTTGTTGTGGTGGCTTTTTTTTTTTGGGTTCCCACTCCCCCAGTTTTGTAGCCATTTCCCCTACTCACTCTTCAAGAGAGATGAGGGATGACACTTTTCTGAAGTGATGACTGCTTCCCAGAATGTCTTGGTCTCACTATGATTCACCACAGAACTATAAGCTCCAGACAGCTGGGGTTGAAGGCACCAAGTAACAGAACAGTGTCAGCACCCTAAATCACTAATAATCATTGAAAAGCTACAGTCTTGGCTAACAAATATTAACCCAGACATTAAAAAAAAAATAAAGTATTTTTTTCCCTTTCTTCCAATAATAATATCTAACCCACGCATTCTTTGACTTCTTACACTGATATTTTGAAACACGTTGAAGTCTGACTTTATTTGCCTTAAATAGTTTTGGATATTAGCTAATCATTGTTGTGATTCACATGCAATACTACAGAGTTAATAAGAGTGAGGAAATGTTATAGAACGTCTACTTCTGCTTCACAAATCAAGTGCTTCCTAGCTCATCAAAGTCCTAGAATATCAGCACATTATCTGATCTAGCATGCACATACACGTACAACACACCAGTAAGCCTAAATCACGAGGTCTAAACCCCTAGCTTTAAATAATCATGATGACATGCATACAAATATCTTGCAAGTACTGGAAACAGTAATTCTGTATTTGTCTCTGCCAGAAATTCTGCTTCTACCTCCTTTTAACAGGAACTCATGCAAAGTCAGAGTGATGCTGACCAATTTCAGAACTTAAGGTTTCTTCCTGAGACGTCATGTTCTTTCCTCAGCACATTGCCCAGCTGCAACACTCGAGTAGGGATATGAAAAATTCGCAAATCTAGTGTCAGATATAATTCCTACATTTCCTTTTATATTGTAAACATCATTAATGAGGCCTTAAAGAATGCTTTGTTGTAAACAGTGGAAGGTTTACAGCTACCACTCCAGTCAACGTAAGGAGAGCGCATCAGTGTCAACTGTATGAAGACACATTCTTTGTTTCACTTCATACACCAACGTATAATTTCATCATGTTAATACTGAAGTGAAAGACGGAACCCCCTCTGAAGTTCTTTCATTAAATCAAACATTTTCTTTTCATACTATATCTTATGTATTCTAAGATTTTATTTTCATCATCAACACTTTTAATCTAATCGTGGCTTTAATTTATTAAAGGCCATGCTAAAAAAACCCCAAACCAAACAGGATTAATAGGAAGACAGACTGCCACTGCTATAAGAACCAATGCAGTAAAATAGCTGCTCCATTATATTTTTGCTACAGTGAGAACTTGATACATACTAACCAACAGATCTGCTTTACCTATTACATGTCTAGTCATACCTGTATACAATTGCGATTAGATGAACCCATCTATCCTTCTTTGTATGAAAAACTGTTGTGAACTATTTCCTATCACAGACTAGCACAGTTAAAATTACATATATTATTAAATAATAGCTCGTGTAATTTTATTTGCTTTCAGAGTTACAGTGGTCAAGAGATAATCATAGAGAGCACATTATAATTATTGTTAAACACATTTTTTGCCACAAAAAGTTTAGAGCATTGGTAGAAAATCCTATGCCATTACATGAAAATATTTAACACCTGTAACCATAATTTCATAAAACAAATATACACTTTATGTAGTATTATGTCAGCAAGTACTTTTTTGTTTGTTTTTTTTTTTTTTTCAAATATCTTTTGCTCTATACATATGTATGTTTGCAGTTAAGAAGTGCACCAAATGCTTCTATGTGTGTGTGTGTGTTTGCAATGCACAGGAAAAATATTGGTTTACCTCTATGGTAACTGTACTTGTCATCCCCACTGGACCGAAGAATGGGGAATTACAAGATCTTAATTTTACCAAATAATTGGCCTCGTATTTTTCTACCTAATGCTGAACATAACATTAATTGGTATTTACCTTCTAATGGTTACAGAACACAGACTGTATATTTCAAAGACAATCTTTACCAACTATATACTGACTTTCATTTCAGTGTCCATTATATAAATTAGGACTCTGTTGAATACTTGTACTGAGGAACAGATGATAGTAACTTTATTTAAATACATGCACAGTACTGTGAACTACAGAATGATCAAGTACTGGTTTTTTACTGGATGAATGAATCAATAGAAAAATAGATTTAACAAATCATTAACATTTTAAAGTCTAGATAAAAATGGGAAATCATGCATTTCAAGCAAGGTTTTCTTTTTTCCTTGTTTTTTGATGAAATCTCTGAGAAATTAAGACATGCAGAGCTGAGAAGCAGCTCATTCTGAACAAAGGACAGTGTTAAGACTGCACAAAAAGTTTTCATTGAGACTGTTTATATGCAACACTGAAAAAAGTTGCCATTCTTGGACTTCCCTTCAACATTAGACAGTGCTGTGCAAACCTCGGACAAATCCCTGTATTATGATTTCTAAGCTGTTAGGAAGTCTCTCTGAGGGCTAACAAAGTAAAAACCTGAGCAACTGCCTCCTTAAAATTTACAACAAGAAATGTTTTGATTTCAGACAACAGACTACAAAAGGGTAATAGAAAACAGTTTCTCCTTTCCTTAAGAAGTTAATTTAGGGGATAAGTAAATCATGGATGACAAATTTATAAATAATAGTGAAACAAAATTAGATATAAGTTTAATTTTTCAATATTTAGAGTACGTGTCTATGTCTATCAACTTAGGAAACAAATGAAAAGTGTTTACTTGCAATTAATTTAATGTTTTTTCCTACCCCAACATTTGTCTGGACACGGCCAATGTAATCAAAAGAACTGTAAATTTTCAGAAGTGAGTCTACTCCAGTGCGCTTGATAAATTATGCATTAACCCATTTCTCTGAAGCATCCTTCACTAAATCTTTGGTGGGAAATGCACTTTATTAGGCATGAGCTTTGGTTATTTCTGTGCATACGCACTATGCTATCAGTCAATACGCAGAAGGATTTAAAGTTTGCCATGTTACAGAGAAGTTTACTCATTAAAATAACTAGTGTTTCAACAAACAACACTGATAGCTAGCTTTGCAAGTATTATCATCTTCACTCTTAGCAGGCTTTCCTCCGCCTTACAGCTTTTGCTCAAACTTTCACTGACTTCCAATCTTGGAAAAACTTACACCAGAGTCATCATGATCATTTGAATACTGCACACGTTGTCAGATGTTTTCAGCAGGTAAAGTTACTCCCATACATAGGAGTTGTCAGAATTAGACATAAGAATTTAATGCTTAGCTGAAATAAAAATATTCTCAGGGTAGAAAGAAATCATAAACTAAAAGTACAGGTTAATGAGACCTGTAATAAACTTCACTCTGAAACAGGTCCAGTTGGTTATTGATGTGAACATGTTTGATTCAATGAATACTATTGAACCTATGGCATATGATCATTGTAGTAGAAAAACTGAAATGGAAAAGACAGAAAATCAAATTACCCATGGCATTCTCTTCCCAAATTCCATGGCATAATTAGCCCATAGATTAGTAAATGGTAATGCATGCAACAAAAAATATGCTGTATCACTTTATGTAAACATCTGCTTTCATCATGCAAAATGCCTACAAAACTGTGACGATATTTTTTTCTAGTAGCATAGTTTTACATTAGCTCAGATACAGAAACTGTTGAAACAAAATCCATGATTTCGCAAGTAGAAGATATTCTAAAATACTTGAAAGATTTCCAGCATAAATATTCCAAAGCTCAACAAAGCTAGGTTTTTTTTTTTGTTTGTTTGTTTTTTGTTTTTTTTCCCTAAAATCTAAACTACGCAGGCTTATTCCTTGCTGTGGTTCCTTGTTCTTTTGATGATAGAAGAGAAAAGACCGGTTTTTGGAGGAGGTCCCATCAACATCGGGGCTTGGTTCTTGTGAGTAATTTTTATCTGGGGGAAGAAAGAAGAGAAGCACAGTTATCCCCTGAGCTAGTTCAATTCCAAGTTTCTTAGATGCCTGAATCATCTTTTATCTGTGACTTCCAAAGTTTCTTCATTTAATCAAAGAAGAAAATACCTGTATTTTTCATGAATGATGTTACATATGCAATAAACCAATCTACATGTAATCACTGTTTCCACAAATACTTTAAATTATACATGCAATCAATATTAAAAAAAACTATGTAATAAAATACATGTAATAAAAAACATGTGATCTTAACATTTTGAGTGTGGGATTTATTGCTTGCAGTTGAATATTTTATGTATCTACAAGATGAATAAGAATTTAAAAGTTGGAAAGGACATACAACATGCTGACAGACTAAGCAGTTGCCCATTATTAAGATACCAGCTATTTCTTTGTATTCTTTCTTTATACATCTAATCAAGCTGTACTTCGCTTTTAATACAGGACACTAGTTAATTTCAAAATAACCAGTACGAACAAAAGTTAAAAGTTAATACACAAAAAAGGTCAAAAAATGAACTAGCATTCTAATTTGTTAATTAATTGTTAATAGAATAGACTCAAATATTCAAAAGACTATTTAAAACACTTTGTAAGACTCCTCTAAAGCCACCCGTTTTGATTTCTTTCATATAAAACTACGAATCACCTTAAATGAGACAACCTTAAAGTAGATTATGTCTGCAATTTTCTCTAATTCAAGTCTAAATTAGAGAAGACATTTTATGAATGTATGCTATGCTCAAAGCTAATTGAAAGCAATTATCAAAGTGGCATTTTGTCTGTGACTTTAAGATACATTGTAAGATAATAAATGATTCTCATTATGTAATAAAAAGGTCACATCTTGCCTTTGGGCTAGTGACGCTGAGAGTTTTTCAAAAGCAATCCGAGACATTTTCTTTAGTGAACTACGACTAATACAAGAACCATCACTTATTAAATATCAGTTGTCACTTGCATAGTACCCACATCAGAGATGGGTATTTCTTTCAAAAAGAAACACCACCTCATTAAAAACTGGAAAAATATATCTCTTAAAGTGCATACCTGACATTTTCAAGCTAAAATGAATATCCTTCACTTGTCATTCACTAATAGTAATGAAACAAAAAATGTATGTCACGTGGAGAGGCTCATTAAAATATAGATCAGGACATTTCTCGGGGTGGAAATTTACTTTACAATATAAAGAGACAGAAACATAAAAATCTCAACAGAATGAATGGGTTGGTTTAACTCTATTAGAGCCTTTACTTTACTCTCCAAATGCTCATTTTCATGCCACCTTAGCTCATTAGTCTCAAATTTCATACGTGACCTCTTCTTGTCAACACTGTTCATTAGTATCAAATTTAGCATACGGAGTTTTTTTGGAAACCTAGATTAATTTCACATGGATAATAACACTTGCTTTCAAAGACAGGCATCAACATATTTTTTCACAAGAAATTCTGCTTCAGGCACCGCTTTGGAAGCCAAATCTGTCGTTGGGGTAAACTGGAATTATTCCATTGATATCACTTTCTAACAGCTGATGATCTAGTCCTGGAAAATCACCTCAAGAATCTTTGTAACTTTACATGCTTCATAAGACATATTTTGGGGCTCAGGAACAGTGATGACATCAACCAGATCCTGAGGATCAATATATGAAGTAATCTACAGCTGCTGTGACTGAAGTTTTGAGAGTCATTAGGGATCAGCTTACTGCAAGATTTGGCCGTGATGCAGCAGTAGGAATGGCCTCAGTTTCCTTTCAGAGGCAAATCATAGTAATTTCATCTTAATGTGAATAAAAGAACAAAGCTCAAAAGATGGCTTTAATATGAAGAGGTGAAGTAATCCTGACACCCCATACAGATTGCATGTTGGACTGGGGCTGTTCAATGCTGCCAAGGGTGAATGCAATTACATATTGAGAAAATGTTTATCATTTGCAAAGGTCTTTTTTGGCTTGAGCCATCTGTTTCAGAGACCATGACCTCTTCAGTATGTTGTATCCTATCAGCTGAGATCACCTAAGATGCCTGAATATGATTAACCCATGATATGCATGGGGATGGAGCCCCATATGCATTCCTCCAAGACATATTTTCAACGATTATAAACTGGCTCAATTCCAGTGGTGTAAAACATATTTTACATTATGAAAATACAAAAATAAAGAGTAAAATTAAAGTATTTTTTTCTACTTATGCACAATAGTGTATATTAACATGGCATTGGTTAATAATGATAACCACTGGTTCCTACTAAAAATAATAATAATAGTAAAACATTAGAAATAAATCTTATATTTGGTTGATAAAAAGAGAGAATGTATGTTTGTAATACACTCTGGACCACTGCAGTACCTTGCCTGAAATAGGTTAATTTTGCCTTTCTCAAGACTCTCAGGTACTTCATTTCTGCTCTGGACACTCACTTCTGCTTCTGTTTTAATACTGGCAGCATTGCCAGAGTTAGTGATGTATGTCTGGCCCACAAGTGATGCTCAAGACACTTTGAACTACGAAGGCACACTAAGAGCCTCAGAAGGAAAAATAATGTTGTAGATCAAAGTAGAACTGAACACCAAAAGTGCTATATGGGAGACTGCAATTGACCAAAGAAAAAGGAGAGAAATCTTTACTTACAAGCAACCAAGATTTAGTTTAGTTAAAAAGGAAGAAATCACTTACAGCTATATAGAGATTCTGTGTGCAGGCACATGGCATGTCTAAAGACTAATTCTTACCATTCAGTTTCTCTTTCATTCAGCAAGCAACCTCATGTCTTTTTTTCAGAAGCACAATTATAAAAGCCTTAAATAAGAGCCATCTTTTTTTTTTTTTTTTGCTTTTCTTTTGTCCTAGGTGAATGTGATTTACACACATACAAGAAAAAGAGATTGCTCAGACAAAAAATCCTCAAAGCTCAATCACTTAACCTAACGTAATTTTAGAAACTGATGACACCCTGAGAAGCATACTAATACAAATTACTGTGGAATTCTGAAAAATGATTTTTGAGATCACTTACTTTTATTAAAAACATTATAACTTATAGAAAATATGGAGGATATTTTAAACATAAGTTAGGGGAAGTGCAGCTGGGGAAAAAAACGCTTCTATTTGGCATATTTGGCACAAATTTTTATTAAAAAAAAAAAAAGGTAAAATGAAATAACGAAACTCCAGTTTTGGAGAAAGTAAATAGCCACCTGAGTTGCTAAGATATCGTGGATTTTTGTTGTAAGCCTGATACACAATGTTTTAGGCTAAACTCAAACTGTTGAAGCCAGTAACAAAACCCTCATTCACTAATGGAAGCCAAGATCTTATCCTATGACTTCATGTTCACAGAAATGTAAAGGACTAGTATACTTAGTAAACAGGTTTGGCACAATAATACTGCATTTGCAATTTCAAAACCACTTTTCCAGTATTAGAAAGTGTGCCCAATGATGTATTCATGGGAAGGAACACAAGATCCAATTAAAAAGGAACATAATTCTTAAAAGATGAGATGGTAATGGCTCCCTATTTGTTGACAGCATTTTTTTTTATGAAGCAGAAACCTGAATTTGTGATAATGAAGATATGTATAAATGTATAAACCAGACATTTATTTGTTTCAGGAGCAGGTCAGAGTTTCAAAACATGCCTTGAAGCCACATTAATACAATGCATCCCCTAAATGAATGCAGTGAGCATCAACAGTTTTAGTGTGATAAATATATCTTTTACGTCAGTCAATTTTGCCTTCATGCTCCTTTCTGCTATATGTGCCATTTACATTCATGTTCCTGACTTCACAGAATTCCTAAATACTTACTATTAACAGAGAACACAGGGACATAAAACTAGGTACTAACTACAACGCTAAATGAAAGTAGAAAACTGAAAACAGAAATAAAAAAAGAACGTCTGTATTTAAAGGACAGAGGGGAAAAAACTGACAGAAGAGAACTTCTCAAGTTGGATTGGTTAGTTTGCAGTCATGTTTTTCCACGCTATCAGCAGGGTTTGCATGTTGGTAGTTTTGAGGGTATAAGGATTTTCCGACAGCCTAAATGTCTGTATGATGTTGCTCCCCTTATAGGAAATGGAGGGATGCAACACCTCTGTATCAGAGAAGTTATCAAATACATTCATTCTCCTGTTAGGTGATCAAGAGCTGTACTGAATATCAAGGTATGAAACCCACCTATAGAATGTAGGCAGTGCTAAACAAAAGCAATGACTTGGATTATGTGGCATTTTGGTCAAAATCTCTTCAGATCTAGATCTGTATTAAATATAGCTTTATGCAACACACCTTTTATATAAATTTCTTAACAATATTATTGTGCAAAGTGCAATCAAATCTAATCAGTTTGGTATTAATTAAGCTCTAATAATATACTCTAGTCTCTCTCCTAAGTAGTGTGATCCGTTTCCCCTTCACACAGGTAGATTGGAAAACATTACGATGTCATCATAATTTTTAAACATACCGAGAAAATGACAGAGCTGCAAAATTAAAATAAATGATTAATGACATTTTTTTCATGTTTTGTACTAATAGGTATCACTGAGGTTTTAAATTAATAGAGCTGTCAAGCTCAGGGTTGTTACAGATCCAGTGCAGAACTAAAATGGAAATTATGTATTCCACAGACACCTAAAGATGACACTTTGGAATATTTTAAATTTTAATTAGTAGGTGCAATTGTTTTCCCCCCTCGTCCCTAAAACCACTGCAAATTAATTGGCAATTAGTCACAACTAATTCTTTTCTTAACAATCTGAACTAGAAAGAAAGGTGCATTACACGTTAGAGTATTTGTCTGGGGTGCAGAAAGCACACATGCAGAAAATTGCTTTGTCAATTACCAAAACTACTGTTGTGAAATTCAGAAAATATATGCATAGGTAAACAAAACTAATTAATGTGCATTGTACCTGTGAGCACAAAAAGTAATGCCCTGCTGCAAAATAAACTTTTAAAACTCAATAAATCACTCTGGCCTTGAAATAGAAATGTATGTTCACAGTTGCTCAAAAGGGAAACAAATGCAGCATGTTAGCTTAACACCAAAACTTTTTCTAGCAACTGACCCATTTATGGGTTAACTATGTAATAATTGTGTAATATTCTACTTAAATCAGCCACCATATCTAAGACCCAGTTCCTCTTTGCTCTAAAGAAGCAGACAAAAGTTTAAATTCTCCCATTATACACAACTGATATGAAAATACCACTACATTCAATGACATGGAAAGAAGATAATTTACAATGTCTAGAATACATCTGCAGCTTCTTCATTCTATCTGTGGTGTGTTGGTGACAATGGGTCTACATAAAAGCAAATCCGTGACTCTTATTTTTCTCACCATCTCTGGCCTAGAGTGATTATTAGTAAAAGCTTTTTTGTTTGTCTGTTATTAGTTCTTGTTTCTCTCTGGACTTAACCGGAAAAGTAGGACTTCAACGGGACCTCTGTGCTCAGGCTTCTTGTATCAACAGGGACTAACAGGAAACGTTAGAGAGAAACCATTCATTCAAAACTTATTTTTAAGGTGCATCCAAGTGATAATATTTCAAAATAATATTTCTGAGTTTCATTATTAAATGGCTTACTACAAGTTTTCCTATTACTAAATAACCCTAAAAATACTACGTGTTTCAGATGTTTATGAAACTACAGTTCAGGCAACCCATTAGGTGGGCTCTGACTATGAATTTTCATTTTTGTTCCTTCATTTACGCAATATTCCTATGGACATTTCTGTCATCTACTCTTAACCTAATATTGCTAGCAGCCCGTCACTCTTTCAGATATGATGCCAAGCAACTTAGGAACAGATGAAAGAACTGAAATCACAGTTATTTCTAATTAAGATGGATTATTCTTAAGGATTTTTTTTAAAAACAATACTAATAATTTATGTAGCTAAATTGAAAGATTACTTTTCTTAAAAAAAAAAAAATAAATCCTGGTGTCTAAAGTTAAAGTTTATTGAATTAACTTGAGAGTCTTTGAAGTTTCATTACAATTAATCACCTGTTTGGAGATAGGTGAAACCATAGATACCTTTCATGTTTCTGTATTTGTCTGGGAGAGCTCTGATAGAATGTCCTCTTCATCTAATCAGACGAGGTGTTTAACATTACATTAACATTATCATCTTTCCTTCTCCCAAAGAGTCCTCTTAAAAAGCAGTGAAAACAACACAGTTTGGCACACAAATTCTGCATCTTATTATATCCGAGCAGTGTGACTTTGTCAGACATTGCAGCCTGCATGTGTTCAACATATTGAATAATTCTGGATGACAGATTTTCAGACCAAGCCACTCATATTTTAAAATACTAAGTACATCTAGGGACACTAGGTGCATAAGCGACAAAAGATGATAAAAGATGTTAAAAAAAGTACACAACAATGCCTTTAGTGCTAAACCGATCACAGGCACGAAAAATAACAGATCACAGCTTCTGGGGAATCACTGTGTTATCTATCACATCCCACAGTACTTTCTGAGAGCCCACGCTGTCATTTTGGGGGGGAACACGGTCTCTATGTTAAGGAGAAGGGACAGCTGTCAGCAACTCAGGCTATTTGTATAAAACTTTTCTCCAGTCAGAAAGGAGAAGTACCAAAGATAAACTTCTTGCTTCCTTCAACAGGCACGAAATTTCTAAGACTGTATACGCAGCCTGCATCCCATAGATAACAGTGATTTGATGCAGAACTTGTTTTCCTTAATATGCATAATAAAATAGCAGGAGAATTTTGTTCAGGTTGAACTTGATTTCTTGAAAAATCATTTGCAAAATATTCTCATTTGTACCAAAATCTGAACCAGAAGTAAGAAAGGACTTCTGAGCTTCACCACCTGCACCTTGGGCAAGGGTTGATTCAGTATCTCCTGATTTTATGAATGTCTTTCTCACTTAGCCTCTGTAATATTTATAGGTCAGTCCCTAAAACTACTAAACTGAGATAAGATAAGCCTGAAGTTCCTGAGATGACCATGACGAAATAAAGTAAGTGTAATTTCAACTTTACAAAGAACAGTTGCTGGGGGAGAGGCAGTAGTCTTTTTTTTCTTACAAAAACTTTTTGGCTGGAACACTGAAGAATCAAAAACCTGAGGCTCAGTTGCTGCGTCTAACTGGCATACATGATCTATGCAATAATGGAACAAGATGCAGGTGTCTCTCCCCTAGAACTGGTGCAATGGTATATTCAAACACAACAGTAGCTTCTGTCCTTAAAACTATATAGCTAGAAATCTAGTAAGTGCCTTCCCTCAGCATACCATGGGAATGAACCCCTATGTCTCAGTGCATGATGTAGGAGTGCCACCACTTCAGATATGGGCATCAATTCTTTGTAGGAGCTAGGAAAATAAAATTCTCACATGTTCCATAAAGAACTAAACTCATGGATTTCTTTATCTGATCATCACACTTCTTTCCATTTAAAAATCTGGTCATTAATTTTCTTACTGGTAATTTGGGGAGAAAACACAGATTTGTCTCTACGAGAGACAAATGCTCATGATTCTTTTATTTGCCTTCTCATATTTTCTTCTAAAATTTGACCTCTTTCAGGTTCAAATAACTGGCTACATAGCTGGCTACACATAAGAATTTATTTTGATATTATCCCAATATATATAGGTGATCAAATACACTTTAGCTTCCAAACAAAGACCTCTGTAAAGCACGCACTTAGAAATCAAATCTTAAGCTTTGGTTGAGAGAAAGTTAACATCCACATTTGCCATTGTCTCAGGAAGAATTCCTACCTACTTTGCAGAGAAGTTCAAGGAAAACTCTACTGTAGTTAGAATTCGTGGGGAGGTAAGATTTTGGACCATTCATGTTTTTTCCTTTAGAAGATGTAGAAAACAGAGTAGGGTACATGAACAGTAATGCAAGGAGAAATTGCAATAAATACATTAAGCTCTTCAGGAAAGAAAAAAAATCCTGGAAAAATGAATAACATAAAATAGTGATTTGGTATCTAAATTCATTGAGATGAAGTAGCATGGATAAATTGCTCATGTATTTTCTTCTCAGAAGAAATAAATACATTCAACAGTATGTAACACAACGTATATTCTGTTAACAATGGTATAGCATGTGCCATTTCTATCCCCTTTAAAATGGTACTTCAACTGGATGGCGGTAATTATCAGTAATAATTTACTGTTTCCTCAAGGCAGTAATTGAGATGTAAGAACTGTCTCTTTTTTCACATTTGTCCTCAACTGTGAGGGCAGCTTCTGCTAGTGTTATCAATCAGATAGCAGGGATTTTGCACAGAGCAAGCAATCAAGAAAAAAAAAGCACATGTTATTGCCAGCATCCTTCCAAAAGTTCTCTTCTGTGATTTGGCAACTGAAAAATTACATGTCTTTTTCTTGAACAAGTAACTGCTGGGTTCAGTACTGTTGATATCTCTTAACTCCAAAAGGTTTCCTGGAATAAATCTCCTAAAATTCCCCCTGTTCTTTCACACAGTGTGTGCACATGGTTCTCTTATTGCAGCATCTGAGCATTTAACCATAGAGAATTAGAGATCAGGCACTCTCCCTGCTGTTCAGCTGTACACTCTGGTGTATCTGGTAAACATGAACTATTACAACCCTTTTCTGTCCTCGTAACCCGTATACTATCAGCTCCCACGCCTGTCAGCACCTTACTGAAGGTGCTCCCTTTTACTTTTTTGTGTAGCATTTAATTCTACTACAGAGATAAAGCTCATGAAAGTGATCCACTACCCTGGTCTGCGGAATTACTCCTATCTGTAGTGGGATTTCTTCCTTGTCACACACTGTCATACTCACAAGCTGCAAGGATGCACCAATTCATCTGCTTTAAAACACATGTCTTCTTTAGGGGAAAAAAAGTCACTGAAATTATGTATTAAAACATGTTGCTAAGCCTATATTCAACAACACAGAGCTTAAATCTTTTCAACATTTTCTCAAGATGTTGCCTCAGACTGAGACGAAATGGAGAGTTCTTAAACACACCTTTCTTGTGTTGCCGGAAACAGCTACTCAAACCTCCTCTGTGCAAGCTGCTATCCTGCCCTATCGTGTCTGTATTGCTGTTTACCTGCCCCCACTTCATATGACTGTTCACTGAAATAACAGATTAATTTTCCTTAATTTCTTATTTGAAATTTAAGGATTTAAAAAAATGTTAGTTCTAGCATATAATTCAATCAGCCCAGTTAAGACTTCAGCTTTAAATAAAACCTCCTTGATATGAACTCTCAAACATGTAATGGAAAATCTCCCTAAATTTTTAAAGAATAATTAGTTACTTTATACATGTTAGCATCAAAATGAACATTGGCTTTTCCTCAGCAACAGAGACTACAAATCTGATACATCATCATAAAGGATCACACTGGGTAAAGGGATGCTGGGACTGCACCCTTGGAGTATTTTATAAACTTTTGAAATCAATACTTTTTTATTCTATTCTAACCCGTGGGAAAAAAGACAGCATGATAAATTGAAAATGCATTGGGTGTTGAACTATATAAAAACAATGTATGAAGATATTACTTAAGTAAACAAAGTTAATGCTGATGGCAGTGAGTGTCCTTTTAAACCAAAAGATTCTTTTTCTATCATTGAAAACCAAGTGAAAGTAAATAAATAATTTAATTTAATAATGAATTTATGAGCAATGTAATTTTTGTTACTCATTAAAAAAAAATTCCTGTTTTTTTTTTGTTTAGTTCTCTTTCTTGAGATAACAGTATACTTACCGTGCAAGGAGTTTGCATCCAAGGTTCCCCATCTATCTGCATAGGCAGTGACTTGCTGGTCCTAAAGTGATATATTTCATAGTGTAAGAAAAAGTAACTAGACAAAATTGATAAATGTACTTATTAAGGAGGCATATATATGTGATGGCACACACATATAATCCTGATTTATCCCTAAACTTCTATGTAATCTCCAATACGGTCCAACATGCTTACAAAAGTAACCCAATCACATTTAGTTTGATTTTCAACAAAGCGAAAACGTTGTAAAGATTCACACATCTTGCTAGTAATATGCTACTCTCTCATGAGAGAATAGTCTATAATTTGTGAAATAAAGAGTCAATTACACAAGAGCTTGAGGAATAAACCTTATTAACTGAAAAGATAAAGGAACCTCTGCTATTTTTATAATTTAGATTGACTGCTATAAAGGAAACAAATAAATTTTAGCTCTATCATCACAATTTATTAGAACAATAAAAGATGTTTTTACACTCTTGTCTAACTCTGGGTTAGACAGAGTAACACATAAGATGACAGCTGTACTATATTCAGAGGCTTTAACACACCATGCTATAAATTTAAATTGTTAGTAAAGTGACACTGATTTTAACATAAAGCTACAGCCAGTGTTCCCTGTCTAGTTTTTGATACCACTTTAATAAAATTATAGACAAGTGAGAAAGGAAAAAACCCCCAAGGGTGATCTTTTTTGGTCTTTTCCACTCACAATAGTTACCATACAAGATTACTAGAAAAATAACACAAAGTAGATAAACCTAATAACGGTAAAATGAGTCAACTGAGTACTCATGTTCATCAACGGAAATACTGGCTTGGACATTATTCAAAAGTGACTAATAGTTCATGGGATTATCCATTGTCATCTACGGTCATAAGTGGAGGAAGGGAAGAATGTTCAATGAGATCTCACTTTATAGGTTTGGAAGGGTTTCTGAATCTTTTCCAGTTGTGGTCCTGCTGATGTGGCATTATAAATATTATCTCCTGGTATCCAGAGAATGTTGGAATGGCTCTGTAATCTTATTTCTCTTCCTCATCCAGTAGAAGAGTACTTTTGAAGTCAACATCACCAGTCCTTGAGCAGAGCCTTCAAATCTACCAGTCACTTCGGCAAATCCTTGTTTTAAAGTTTTTATTGCTGCTGTTCTGTTTTATGCTCATTCTAGGCTTCTGGAGTTTATAATCATATAACTATGATTTTATTAAAATTTTGAAAAATTCTTCATGATAAATTCTTCACTGAGGAAGAGTTGATCAGCTCTCTTTTTTCCAGTCCTTACCTAATCCAAAAATTAGAATAATTCTTTTCTCTTTGAGTCCTAATCCAAGTTTCCTCTATTGTGAATGTTCTGGTCACTTTAAGCACAGGAACAGTAAAACACAACTAAATTAGTGTGCTCCACCATTAGTGGCTTATACATACCAGCAGGTTTAATAATAATGACTTGTCAATGTTCAGTAAATAACAAACAAATCAAAGCCATTCTAAAGATCAAAAAAGAGCTTTATGAATACTAAATACATGCTACTATTCCCTGGTGAAGAATGCATTATAAATGGGTTAAAAAGTGTCAAAATAATGTTAATTTACTTTTTGCTCAAAAGTGCATGGAGTGTATGTCAATGATAAACTGCAATATATTTATGCCTTACTCCTTCTGGTCCAACTGCTTGACAGTATTTCTTCATAGGATGAAATGACAGTTGAATACAGCACGTGAAGACTGAACGTAAAACGCCCTTTTGCTAGATTTTTGACACATTTAAAGAAGGCAAGAAGTATAGGCATAGAATATGGATGGAATAGATATTTCATATACAAAAATGATACTTTCACAAGAAGTAAGTACGGTATTTATGACTATTAAGTTACCAAAGTGGACTTATACTATATAAAACTTTACTGTTTCACTACAACAGCGCAGTGCAAATTGAAGATGCTGATACCTGATGACAACAGATGAGCACTGGGCAAGCCGTCTTCCAGCACTTTTCAGACCTGTGTATATCTGTCCCATCTCCATGGCTCCTTCCAGACCAACCACTTCCATAAGCTGGTCACTTAGATCTGCAAAAGTTGAAAAAAATAACATTTTGTCTGGATGGCATTTTGATAGTGGTTGTTCTGTGACTGGTAAGAATTGTGAGAAGATCAGCCTCATAATACAAGATGTAGAGAAGAAAACTAGAAAAAATGATGATTCCTAGGAAGTGATTGAAGCTTTAAGGCTGGACACATCTGGACCTATTCTCACACCACTCTAAAATAACCTGACCAAAGTGGTTCTAAAAGACGATAATAATACCTCTGAATTTTAATACATGAATACTGAACAAATAATCTTAGTCTATGAGAAAACACGAGAGACTCCTTCTTTAGATTGTGCTCACAGAATGAGATGTTTGCAGTTTAGAAATTCAGAAATTGGATCTTTGTCTCAAGTAGTACATAGATTCAGTGCAAAAAGGGCAGAAAACCCCTTATATCAGCAACTATTAATCTAATTTTCCTGAACCTTATAGTGCTTGTTTGCACCAGTTATATATTTTTATTTCACACATTGTTTTGCCTATGTTGCATTATGGCATTAGACTTTAAAATATATTTAAATAAATCATATCTCTGGCAAAATAAATATTAGATTGCTTCACTTCAAGGAGCGAGGACAAATTCTGTCTAGAATTTCAGATATAGAGACACAACCAGAAACCTAAACAGTAATATAGCAGTCTAGTTTGAGAAACAACTAAGCAAAGTAATGAAATATCCAGAATCAACGAGGGTGTTTTGTATGAAATGCTTTATATGCTCCTGTTAAAATGCATGTTGCCAAGACCAAATGGACAAGAAAAAGAAACATGTTTTTTTTAGCTGTATGTGTGTTTTACAGATTCGCTGTTAATATCCAAGTTTCCAAAAGGTGTATTATTTGGTGAAGCACAGGAATGAGCTAAAATGTTAGAGTCTATCATCACATTGAAAAAATAAATAAAGGAGAGCACATTACTCTTTGTATATTTTAAACCCTTCAACCTTTAATGAAGGTAAAATTTCATGCTAATTATCATACCTATGAGCCTAGCCCAAAGTTTCAAATGGAGTCTTTTTTGTTCACTTCTTTGGACTTTCAATGAAGGTAATTAACTGAAGAAGTATTGGGGGTGGGGGGTGGGGTGGGGATATGAAAAGGAAATAGGATTTATGGTCCGGATTACTCTGCTTCCAATGAGAAAATCTGATACTATCCAAAGCCTTCATTTTTCTTATATTTCCTTAATATTCTTTGCTATTTTCATTTTCTCATCACAGTGAAATCGGTTCCTTATAGTATTAATGAAGCAAAACCAAAGCCTATTCTTTCCTATTAAGGAAAAACAATGATGGACAAAAGATTAAAACATACAATATGATTAATTTTAACTATACATTGAATAGTTTGCACCAATATAACACATGTAAACCCAATTTTGCATTTCTTACTTTCAATTGAATTGTTTTTCTTTTAAGATGTTTAAGTTACTCACTTTTAAACCTGGGTTTAAACAATTTCTGCTTTTCTTGATAGCCATAGGGACTAAGGTGAGAAAGTCCTCTCATTTTCAAAAGCTACTCTATTAGAAAAGCACACAGAACTTTACAGATGTACTAAATCATTAAAATGTTTCCAGCCAAAGAAAACATCACATTTCTATTCACTGGGTTATTAGAAAATTATTACTTTTTAAATGGGGGAATAATTAAGAACAGATTTTTATTACTGACAGCTCAGGCAACATATGCAAGATTCAGAATAGTGACATTTGCAGTGATATAAATTTGATGCATCATTTTTCAATAGCTGTGAGATTCCTGCCAGTATCAGCAGATAACAAAGGGTCAAATCCTGCCATTTGATCTGTACCACACATCTCAAGAAATGTGGTATATTAAACATTGGAAGATGGAACTGAACAATACTCTAATGCACTGAAAAAGTGAAACCTTTTCAAAAACTTTACATTTGCAGTGGCACATTCCCAAAGTGGGGTTATTTTAGGCCAAATATGACTATTTTTAGAATCAAGCTTAAATTAGACATAAGCTTACTTCAGAAGCTGGAAAAACTAAAGCAAGTGTAACATGCAATTATCGACTTAGGGTTAGTTCATGCTCCTGCCCTTGCTAATACATCTTTCCTGATGCTTTTGCATAGTCATATACATTTCAAGAAATCCTTGAGCTATATTGACTTTGATAAGAGCTCAGAGTGAGCAAAAGTGGAAAAGGGAGTGTGTCTATTTTGGTTCAATTCTTCAAAGATGTTAACACGGCTTCACTGGCTGAATATAAAGGGTCAAAGAATATAAAGGGTCAAGACATCAATGAATGGATTACATTTGTTCTTAAAAGGTCCCCACCAAAGATTCTGAAAGAGACTAAGCTCTATTAAAAGAGATTAGATCTTCTATTAAATTAAAAGATAGGAAAGGGGAAGTCATTCTTCATTCTAGTGGAAGGTTATCACTGATTTCTCGGAAAGATCAGTGCTAGCCTCTGTACTGCTCAACATATACCCCTAAATAATCTGGAAATGGAAGTAGATAGTGAGTTCCTGAGGATTCGGTGAAGTAAAGAGAAAAGCCAATTAAGAAAAAAAGTTCAGGAATTTTACAGTACTGAGTAACAGGGCTATGCAAAGGCAGAAAATTCAACACATGTAACTTAATGGCCATTAAGTGACATGGGGAAATTACAGGTATGTAAACTGTTATATGCATATATATTGCATTTAAAAGAACCACAGTGTGTGTGTACATATCCACAGACACACATATATTTATATTGCTGGGATACGATGAACATTGCTATGCTGGAATTAACAATATGGAGTTGCTGTGGCCACTTCATTGAAAACATCAGCTCAATGCTCAATAGTGATCAAATACCATCAAAAATTATGATTGGTACAGCCACATAGTATGGAAAGTGCAGTTCTGTCCCATTCAGCAATGCATAGGAAGATATAAAATAGCTGGAAATGACAGAGCAACAAACATGGTAACAAATATGGAGCAGCTACTCTGTGAAAATAAATTAGACTAGAAACCTTCAGAAGCTAAGGAGATGAGTGGAGGAAAGATAAGAAAATAATGAGTGTCACGGAGCAGGTGAAGAGAGTACTGTAATTTAGCATTTCTCAAAATGCAAGGGTTTCCACAGCACTTCTAGAACAAGCAGGAAATCCTTTTTACATAATAATTTGTTACACCATGATGCCTTACTAGACTTCTAAATTTCTGAAATCATAATTATTATATATTTACTAAGGCATCTTACTGGAAGTTTCACTACAAGTTTGCTCTCTCATGCTTTATTTCTAATAATGCAATACAGGTTGGTGTCAGAGGTCAGACACTGAGCTACATGAACTTGCAGGTTGATCTAGCATCACTGTTTTTGTTGTCCTTTTATACATCTTAGAAATTGTAGACCAGAATAACAAATACTGCTGTTAACTAAACATCATTAATCACTTAAAACAGCTTGTAATGTGGACTTTTCCATGACATGTATCCCAATTGTGTTTGAAACCTAATTCAGAAAGTAACTTCTTTTTGATCCTCAAATTATGTTCTGAAGTTTCACACACGTGTGCGTCTGTGTGTGTCTCTACCAACTATAGAGCAAAAACTAGCTCTTTTAAGGTGCGTTGTATTTCTTCTGCATTACACAGATCTATTATAAACAGAAAAATAATCAATTGGTAACTGTACTGATAAAATTCTCCGATACCTGCTCCACCTATTAAATATAACAGTTTTAGGAGGTTTAGGTTTATGAATCTGAGAGATTTTCAAAAAAGAATTTAGCAGCTAACAGTAAACAGCAGCAAATACCAGACACTGAACAGCTTTTCAACCTAGTCAGGTCATTTAGTTGCCTGAATGAGAGCCAAAGTCTCATAGGTAGGCTATCACGGAGAGCATCTCAGTATTAGTGCATTAGGAAAGTGTTTTTTGACTGGTGCCTTGGGGTTCTTGAGTCCGTTTGTTCTACTTTGAGCTCTGTGAAAGAGCTGAAGGCTCTTGCTTGTTTTCTATGTGAATGAGCCATTAGAGTGTGTGGGAATGTTTTCACAGCACCATGCCTCTCCTGCCCTCTTCCACAAACTGAAGTACTTCACGTGTCTCCTCGTATTAGCCCTGTCAGTAAACAAAGCCCGCTCTCCTGGGAGAGCGCTGCTGTCAGCAAATGGTGACTAGCATGCAGAGGGGCATCTGACCCCTTGCACTCATTCCTGATGGGGAGATAAAGTCCCTAGGGAGATGACTGCCCATTTCATCCCATCAGCCAGCAGAAGAAAGAGAAGTCCAAACAGAAACTTGCACAAATAGCAGACAGAACATTGCATATGAATATAAGCCCTTCATAGCACTTCCCCCAAGGCATGAAGATTGGAGATTTTAAAGTTTCTTAGTGAGGAGTTGATGTTATCCATTAGCTTGGCATTAGCTAAATGCTTCAATATTCAAAGTGAACACAAGAGAGAAACACATTTGGAATACATCTATGAAGATAAAGCAAGGAAAGCAAAATGGGATAGGGGGTGGGAAGAAACATGGTGTGATTAGAAATCCTGATTTACATAGAGAACTTTCCCACTGTAATGGAACTGGTTTTGGTATCCAATTTATCTTTGCAATATATAAATATTGCTGTCCTGGAAAGAGATTGAATGACTCTATTATAACTTGGGGTTACTGCACTCACTCAGGCACATTTGCATAAAAACACTGCTGGTCAGTGGTAAATCTGTCTCTGGCAGCAGTTTGTCTCCAAAGAGAAGGGGCTCCATGGCTTATTACTGAATGTAATGAAACCCTAGTAATCATCAGGCTGGAAATTTTTTTGGTTCCAGTTAAAATACTGAATAATAATTTCAAAACTGCTATGATGCCAGAGGATCCCTGAAAAACTCCTGAGCTTGATGCTCTGCACCATATGAATGCTTTGGCATCTTCCTAGAACATGGCATGTATTAAATCTACAGTCACCCATAATGAAGGAATGTGGGGTCACTTCTACAT